TGTTACGGAACTGCATCTTTCCCGGAGGGCAGCGCCGGCTAGCCACGGAGTCCCAGGGCGGAGTACCCCCTATGCCCTGCAGTCCGAACAATCGATTCCGACTCATCGGACGTCTCACGTCGATTTACCATCTCTAGCACAAATCAAAACAAAACAAAATTATGTTTACATTAAGCAACTAAGACAATTCGACGAAATTGGTGGCTTCGATGTCCTTGCCACGACGCACCCACCCAACCTTGGGTGCCCCAAGAGAGATGTGGGAGGCACACCCCATCTCCGGCAGACCGGAGTCTATTCCTGGTGGATTAGGATCGGCTCATCTCCCCGCCCAAGGTAACTCACACAACCATCTCGGTAGCTTGTTTACATTTAATTCTTGGTGAGATTAACAAGTAAATACATTCATTATTGATTCCTACTGATAATCTATTCTTTTCGTTAGAAACTTTAAGGCCGATCTCAGACCGTCGCCCAGATGAGAAGCGGTCAAAGCGGAAACAACCGAAAGGGAAATTTTTAGACGCTCAAAGTTCCAAGTGTCAGGCAAAGTCGCCGCACGGCACTAAATTTGGAGGCGTTTGCCAGCCGGGTCGCCTAATCCTGAGGAGCTCCAAGGGAAAAGAAGGGACGTGCTAATAAGGTAAGTACGCTAAACAAATCCCACAAGTCATTAAATTTCGCGACCCAATTTAGATGTAGTTGGACGCGGGCTAGGGTTCGGGCTTGAGCCTCTAAATTTAGATTAGATTTCACAGTAAGTACTTTACAATCTTGACTATATAATATCACAAAACAACAACTAAAACTAATTTTTTTCAGAGTTCAACGTCGCATATGTTGAAACTGCAGCAGGAAAAACGCTGATGGCGAAGACCAGCGCGACTCCGCACGGAGCCAATTGGTCCGGAGGATAGCGTAGCGTGGCCGGAAGCAGGGCGTCGGTGGACTTGGAGATGACCACGTGGCCAGCGCGGGCATACATTCCCGGAACGGACTCACCGAGGGAATCTCCGTATCTGGCCGTCTTGGCGGCAGTAGCTGTAGCTGCTGGCGCTTGAGGCTGCTGCTGCTGCTACTGATCGCTGCTGCTACTGATCGCTGCTGCTGCGGCCAATGCTGCTGCGGCTGATGTTGCTGCTGCTGATGCTGCTGCGGCTTATGCTGCTGCTGATGCTGCTGCGGCCTATGCTGCTGCTGATGCTGCTGCGGCCAATTCTGCTGAGGCCAATGCTGAGACGGCTGGTGGTCGACGACCAGGTTAGGTCCGCCTGGTAAGTTTTCACTTCCCAAATGTTTAAAATTTCCGGAGCCCTTTAGTTAGGGTCCCCGGCGGCTTCAATATAAAAAAAAAAACACTGTAATTTACAAGTTCCGGACTAATAAATAAACACTCACTTTGAGTTATTCAAACACTAATCACGAATTTAAATTTTGGGTTTTTTTCCGCCCGTTCTCCTACTACTTCTTGCAGCAACTAAAGCAAAACCCTGACCTACACCAAAGTCGCTCGCCATTTTCCCTCCCGCTCTCTCAAGATGGGTCAGCGAACGTATTCAAGGCCATCTAACCCAGTTAACGAGCGAACCGGGCTAAATTTAAATAGCTAGATCCTCTCCCGCTATCAATAGTCGGTGTCACCACCAAATCTTATCGATAGCGGGACCTGCTGACGTATCGGCTCGTTTCAGTATTTTCCAGACGGCTTCAACTGAAAATGCAACACAGCTATTCATTGCCGCGATAAGCATTGGTGAGGCAGTGTCATTGGCAGCGTCGGAGGGGACCCCGCGCTTAGGGCCACAGGTTTCTTTCAAGCGTTTTCCCTCTGGCAAAACCATATTTTGTTTTGTTTTTATACTTCGTTGAGTTGGTGTTGTGTTGGTGACGAGAGTTCTTCGATTGAGTGTTTTGATGTGTTGAATGTTTGTCTATGTGCTCTTGTGTTATGTTATGTACAGTTTCTTTATTAGGAAGCGATTTTTGTAGCTTAGAATTGATTTATTCCGGGCAAAATTAATTTTTATGTGTTGTACTCTTATTTATGCCGCTGTAGTAAGCAGTGTTTAGTTTTTTTTAAGCCGTGTTTAAGGTTTATACGGTGTTAAAGCGGAGCTTCACAAAAGTGCGTCTATTCGATTTAATAACGATGCTTGGAGTTTTTTTTTAAGTTACGCATGACCAAATACTTTCAAAACGAGCGGCTTTACAGAGCCTTTTGTTAGTGTAACATACTTACAACTTACATGCGATTGAATTATTTCTCAAATAAAACCGACCTCAAGCATAGGTTGATAATTATTTTTTCTAATTTTATTGCGAAAGAGTAAACATAAATATATATACGTATCCAGGTAAGAAAGCTTTACGGACCGTAATAAACCGTTGGCGAAATAAATAGATAAATAAACATATATTAATCACATCAACCTGTCCATTCGCCTGAGGTGAACCAGAACCAACATGTAAATTAAGTTTGTCACTAGTAATTTTGTTAAAAAAATATATATATTTTTTTATGTAACTTGGTGTTAAACCTTTTTATTAATTTCACAATGGTAACGTACACACCTAGAGGGTGTACGATACAATTATTGGTAGTAGGTAAGGTTATAGGAGTAAGCGACGTATTAGGGATAATAAATATTAAGTTGAAACCGAATATTAAGCCAAAGTTTAGTTCCAAACCCGAGTGCCAACGCTAGCCGATATTTAGTAAGTTAATGGAAAATACTAGAAAGTTAGGAATATACCAGAAATCCCGAACGCCAGAAAAAGGGAAGGTGGTCATACAACGATCGAGTTGGCGGTCTCTTGTGTCGGAATGGTAAGACGGGACGGACGTGTCCCCCGCAGTAATTTTTCGTGTAATCCGAAGTAACGCGTCGACCGCGCGACGGCACGCGGAAAGTGAATAAGTGGGCTGAGTTAATGTACCTAATATTCCTCTCCGTTAAATAAGGACGGTGTACCGGACTCGTAGGAGGGTATTAGATAAATAAAACAATCTAGCAAAAAAAAATAAAGAAAAGAAGTGAAAGTGAAATCCCTCGTTTGTGATTTTATATTCGTAGTCGATCAGTAGCTTCTCTCCTCGTAGTGCATGTGACCTGTACGCGGACACCCGGCCCGTCTGGTCTAGTATCCTAGCTTCCCTCCCCGTAGTATTTGTGACTTGTACGCGGACACCCGGCCCGTCTGGTCTAGTATCCTAGCATAGCTTCCCTCCTCGTAGTATTTGTGACCTGTATGAAAATGTAATACTATTTTGTATTAACGACGCGAAAACTTGTGATTGCAGTAGTTCGACGATGTTAAATTGCGAATTTGTGAAAACTATTTCGAAAGCGCGACGAAAAGGAGTGGCTACGATGATGTTCGATTGATCACTGGCTATTATATTTCAATAATTTCTCTTAGAGCCTAACTTATGCTACGGTGGCGAGAGACGGGGCGAATTCGCAAGAGAGAACGGACGAAAGCTTTATTGGCTCCCGCCCTCGCCCTACAACTAGTGATTTAAATACAAGCGCCAAGTGCGCAAACACCGCCCCCTCTGAAGGGACGACGTCCTTCAGCCTAGAACGGGCAACAGGGCCAGTCGGTGGACAGCTCGCCTATATTCCCCGTCCTGCGTTCTGACGTCCGCCACGCGAACTTTGCTTTCGGCGCCGGCGTGCACCGCTATCACTCGTCCAATCCTCCACTGCTGGGGCGGAAGGTTGTCTTCGGTGACGACGACGAGCGCTCCCACGACGAGGTTGGGCTCCCCCTGGTGCCACTTGGACCGCTGCTGGAGGCTGGAGATGTACTCCCGGGACCATCGCTGCCAAAACCTGTGCCTGAGAGACGAGACACCTTGCCATCGTCGCAAGGGTCAGGCTGATCTGGTCCGGGAGCGCCGCTGATGGTGGGGCCAGAGGAGGGCCGCCGATGAGCAGATGCCCGGGGGTCAGGGCCTCGCCGTCGTTCGGGTCGCTGCTTAGAGCGCCGAAGGCCAGGAGTTGAGAACGGCCTCCATGCTGGTGAGCAGAGTTCCGAGCTCCTCCGCGGTCAAGAGGTCTTGGCCTACCGTCCGAAGGAACAGGTGCTTTGCAGACTTCACACCTGCCTCCCATAGTCCGCCGAAGTGCGGTGCTCTGGGTGGTATGAACGCAAACTCGCATCCTTTTTTTGATGCGAATGTTTCGATACCGCCCCCTGCTCCTCCAGACGGGCTCGGAACTCTCTCATGTGGCGATCTGCGCCGACGAAATTGGTGGAGTTGTCGCACCACACCTTCTCCGGAATCCTGCGACGACTCACGAACCTTTGAAATGCCAACAAGAACGCATCAGTGTTTAGGTCAAACACTAGTTCTAAGTGGACCGCTTTGGACTTGTACGGTGGCTTACCACGGATACGATACGTTGGGGTCTATAAATACAACAGATTAACATTTTTGACTTGAAACTAGGATCTATGACTTCTACAACCAAATATTCAACTCTGCCTTCGATCGGGTTTGATTTAATAAGCTTCGAAGTGTATTTGTTGCTTACAAAAATCGCTACACCACCTGCGTGTTTCAATCTGTCGGACCTGTGCACCACGTAGCCATCATCAAAGGGACGTCACTGTAGCCTCTTACAAACCATGTTTCAGAAACACACACTACATCAACATTTGATCTTCTCAGCAGACTGCTGGCTGTTGCATTATTTGTATTGGCCTGCATTAATAGTGGGGTATAAGGTAAATTTGGAAACGCACGTATGAATTGAGAGAGCACAAGCTAGATTTGAACGAAAAAAGATTACCACTAGAAAACCTAAATTACTCTTAAAAACTATAAACATAAAGAGGTGAGCTGCATAAGAGATGTTATAGACGAAAGCTATTTTGGACAGCGCGAGAGGTAACTTCGGCAACCAGTGTGCTGGATCCAGAGAGGGGGAGAGCAGACTCAGCAGCCGTGATCGCTGAGAGCTCATCAAGCTGCTGGATAATGTAAATGTCCTCTCTTCCACTGCACTTCACGTGCACAACGGCGCGTAAAAACTTCAGCAAGAGATTTCTGCTTCTTCAAACGCATGGCTTCTTTAAATATAAGGAAATTATCTCTCGTGAGCTGCTCATTAACGTAGAGAGCGGCCGGCGAGTCAAAGCCCAACAGATGTATGCTCAGTTGCTGTTTTGTTGTTCGTCGGAAATCAGCCAGTGCGTGAAGAAGTGAAACTTTTTTCCTCGTAGTTCCCAATTTTATCAGAATTGGCGGGTCAACCAGTGAATTTTGCGATTTTCGGACCCTAAAAATGTCGCGGTCTCCCGGAGCCGGGACAAGGTTTATCGCAAAGCATAGCTTGTTAAACAGCGGCCTTAGTTTCTCTCCTTCCACAAAAGGAACGCCATGCATACGCACTGCGCACGCCTCGCTTTCGGCAAGCTGTGCGTCAAGCTTACCTTGCACCGTGCCAATTTGGGATTTTAGGGAGCGCAGCTCCCTTAACCTCCTGCTCCAGCTGCAAAATGCGATCGGCAATCAGCTTCTTCTCCGTGGTGGCACCCAAGAGCCGTTCCTGCAGCACCTCAAGCATCCTCTCCTTGACTTCACGGATGGTAGACTTGATCAGCTGGGCTTGTTCATCGAAACAGCT